TTTTTCTTCCTTAGGTTCTTTCTTTGCAAGATTGCTCCAGGTACACAGTACATTTCTCCTCAAGACTTTAAAGTCTTACTTCAATGGCTTGGGGACAAGCCAACTTTTCCGGAGGGGGTGAGAAAGTCTGCAGCTGAGGCTGAGGCACAAGATAAGGAGTAGATGACAACAACTGAATAAAATAAGGGAGGAAACTTACTTTGCTTTTAATGTTTTTAATTCCTTTGTTTTTAATTTAATGTTTTTAATTGATTTATTTTAAATTTTGAATTCCCTTGTTGTCCCATAATTTGTTTTAGAGCCTTAAATTTTGTCTTTCTTCACTACATTACTGAATTTATGATATCTCTCTTTCTCATATCTAATCTGTTCGATCCTCCAGACCTTATCCGCTAACTAAGTCATATCCCTTAAAGGTGCATTTACTAACTTCGCCCTTATCGAAAACTCTAACCCTGCAGTTGTCATTCTCACTACCTCATTCTCGGGGATTTGTGTGAAACACCTTGATTTCATTTGTCTAAATCTATTCAATTAATCATCTATATTTTCACTATCGTACTTCTTCACATTCATCAAATCAATCAAACTAACCTAAGTCTCCCCTCTAAAGAATTACTCATAAAATTTTCTTTCCAACCGTGCCCAATTAAATATTAAATTTAGAGGCAATGTTGTGAAACAAGTAAAAACATTTTTTGTTAAAGATCTTAGAAAATATTTCATTTCATTATCAAATTCTCACTCGTTAATAAATTCTCACACTCTATTTGATACCTAGCTATATGTTTGATAGTAGATTCTCCAATATCACATGCAAATTTTGTAAACTTTGGAATCTTTTTTCGTCTAGGCAAATCAGCCTTTAATACAAAATCAAGAAAGGATGAAATAAAATATGACTAATTATATAATCTCATTCCCTCATCCAGTTGATTCCAATATCCGATTACTTGATCATAAGCATTTTGTTGATAATTCCCATTATTATGATTATTCCTTCTTATATTTATCCCAAAGATGTAGAATTTGGTCTGCATCTTGACCTATGTTGACCATCCTAACATCTCTCTACAAATTATAATTTTCCTGCATATTTTGGTTATTATTTTTTTACTCTCTAGGGGGTTCAACTTGATTATTTCTTACTGGCATATTATAATTTGTTAGGTTATTCTTTCTTGGGATAGCAAGCACATCTCCTATCCTTATCATTTTCTATGCTAACCTCTGAAAACTATCGGCAGTCATTTGTACCAAAGGATTTAAAATAGTGGTCATTTGTTGGGACAACATATTAACCATTTCATGATTACTATTGTCCATTTGTTGTCTTATGACCCCTAACATATTAACCAGACTTAATTGGTTTTGACTCCAATCATTCATCCCGTTAGAATTTGGGGTCGGTTGTTATGATGACATTCTCCAGGGATACCTTTTCGCTATTGAAATTCCCTGATTATTTCTTTGGACCGACATGTTCCCACTACTCATATGTGGTCCTACACAAGTGCTACCTATTGTATTATTTATTGGTTAAATCATTTCTTGATTGCTTTGACTACTAGTGTTTCGATCAATAGTAAAACCCTGAACAATTTCACTCTCATGTCCCACATTTTGACTCTCATTGTTACTGTTCAGTACTGCGTTGGTTATTACCACAAAATTCGGTTCAAAGGTTTGTGTGTTTTGACCCGTCATAATCATTCTACCACTTCTTAATACCATACACTATATAATAGTCCCACTGAGTGTGCCAATTTGTTTATAGTGTAAACAATTTGTCCTTCAATTTAATTGAACATAACTTCTTTATCTCATTATTATTCAAAAGTTAACACACAATATACTTCAATTAAAGATCGGTCACATTCAATTATTATTTCCAATACGATTTGAAATATTTAAAGTAAATTGCAAGAATAATAAAAAATAGTAAAAATAAATTGTTGAAAAGTAAATGTGCGAAGAAATAAATAACAAAAAGATAAACTTAACCCATTACCAAGAATAAAACATAAATTGGTAGAGAAAATTAACTAAGATGACGATCCAAATTGTAAAGAATTCCATTGAAAATGCTTGTTCTATATTCGTAGTGTTTTTCACAATGTAAGTTTCTTCGTATAATTTAACAATTACCCCGATCACATTTATTTTATCTTATATATATTTTTTCAATGTAACCGCCAAGGTGACGTAGAGTAGAAAAAAATTAATAATAAAATTATAAAATAAAACCATTAACTAGAATCTTGTAACTATTTCTCTTCGCTCCACTTTGTTGGTACGTCTCACTCGTAATGTTCATGCCGAAGAACTGGATAATAACTATTTTCATAAATCTGTCGATACACCACTCGAAGATTCTCTAACATAACCTCTCTCGATATTTTGTTTCTTCGATATAGCGTGACCTTTTGCTCCGATGTTCTCCACTTTTTAAATAATTGATTCTCGATTAATGATACTATGACTTCTTCAATATCCCCCAAAATCCTCTTCTTTTGATAACACCTACTGATGAATCTTCTATCTTCATAATACACCTTTTATCGATTACCACATTTATTATTATAACTATCGATGTCTTCCTTCTCGATTCATTCTTTTGATCTATTTGTAAATTTTAGACTTAACAGATAAATGAATAAAGAGTGATTGAATTTACTATGTTTGAAACCGATTGTGACCATATAATTTGCAAATCGTTGGTACCAAGCACGAGGGGCTTGATTTTAGACTACAAAGTGACTTCTTAACAAGCAAACATAATCAGGATGGGAGGAATCCTTAAAACTCATGGGTTGATGCATATAAATGGTTTTATTTAGATTACCATTTAAAAATGCATTTTTGACGTTCAACTGATGAATGGGTCATGATTTAGTCAAAACAATGGTTAAAACCGTTCGAATGGTCGCTAGTTTCACTAGTGGGCTAAATGTTTCATCACAATCTACTCCTTTCTTTTATGACCTTCCATCACCTACAAGATGAGCTTTATACCTCTCAAAAGAACCGTCAGAGTTGTGTTTATGTCTAAAAGATCACATAGACCAAATTATATTTACATTAAGGGGACGAGGTACCAACACCCATGTCTTGTTTTGAATTAAAATATTATATTCATAAATCATAGCATTTTTCCAATTTAGGTCATGAAAAGCACTCACCGGATTCTTAGGTAAAGGAAAAATAGAGGTGGTGGTCAAAATACTCAAATTATGGGTATATTTTGGGTTCGGTTTAATTATGTCATGTTAACTATGAGTGGTCATGTGGTGAGGCCTAAGATTGGTTATTATAGGATGATGAATTGATGTTTGAGAAGAAAGAGTAGTAATTGGCGAGGTTGAGAGATGATTGGTGTGAGGGGACAAAGCCAGTTAAGGAGAGAGTGGCGTTGATTGAGAGCTTGGGCATGTATGTGTAAGAGGAAGTGTGGGTTGTGTTATTTGATTTTATGGTACAGAGGTTCATAGGTGATGGATTAAGTGTGGAGAGGTGTCTTCACTTAAGGGGTCATATTCTCTTGGAGATAGATCATGTATTTTGGAGAAAGGAAGTTGTGTCTCATAAAAAATTACATGACATGAAATTATTATATTTTCTACTTAAAATATCATAACACTTGTAACCTCGATGGTTTGATGGTAGCTTAGAAAAACACACGGGGTGGACTTGCCTTGCAACTTATTGATTATAGTATTTAGAAATAGGGGGTAGCAAAGACAACCAAAGATATGAAGATGGGAAAATATTGAATTTTTACGATACAGGATTTGCATTGGGGAACGATATCCTAGAACTTTGGTAAGAAAAATGTTTAGTAGATAAGTGGTCATTTGAAGAACATGATCTCAAAAAGAAAGTGTCATGGGTGAGTGTGCTAATAAGGTGCAAATGGATTTAATATGTCGTTCAACTTTTCCATTTTGAGAAGATGTGTGAAGGTAAGATAAACCTAAATTGCATTCCACTTTGTTCACAATTTTTTTTAAACAAATCATTAGTAAATTCCTTTCCATTATCACATTGCAAATTTTTAATGTTTTTTTCAAATTGGGTTTTAATTAGATTTTGGAAATATTGAAAAATGGAATAAATTTGTGATTTTTTAGAAATGGGAAAAGTTCACAAAAATTTGCTAAAATCATCAAGGAATAATACTTAATATCGATGGCCAGAAGAGCTAGATATGGGTGTTATCCAAATATCATTGTGAATAATATCAAAGAAAAATTCAGTAAAAGAACAAGAAACATTAAATGGTAATTTCACATGTTTACCAAGAGGACAAGAAGTGCAAAAATCATGATTGTCTTTATTACAATTTATGAAATTTTGACAACGAATAAAGTTTATAATAGTAGCTCCAGGATGGCTGTCGCAACAGTAATCGCGAATGGACGACAAAAGTAAGTTTCTAAATGAAAGTAAACAATAGAATCACCACCAATATTTATTTTAAGCAAAATATCATAAAAACCTTCAAAAAGAAAAGAAATTGGTCTGCAAAATAAAGGTTAGATTCAAGAGTCAATTATGTGTAAGGAATGTATTAACACTCTACAATATCTATTCTAAAAATGGTTATCTTTAATTAGACTTAAAAAGTTAAATATCTTAAAATTATCTATTTTATCCCTCAAAATTATATATTTATTAAATGTTGCTACTAAAAATAAAATATTATATATTTTTATATTTTTGGCTCAACATATATTATCTTTCTGCTCTTACATATTCCAAGTGTAATGGAGAATGTTCTTTTTTATAAATATTTGTGAATAATTTATTTTAATTTACCTATTGATGTTGCTAAGTTAAACATATGCCTGGAATAACTCATAAAATAAAAAAAATTCTTTTAGATTGTTTACTATTTGAAGCCTTTTTTGTTATTTTCACCCTCTCAAATTTGGGTCACGTATCTCTTAGGCCCTCCTTCTCAGCCCATATCTCATTGGAGCTCCTGTCTTGACCTAAACCTAATAGTGGAGGCCGAGGGAGATGAGACGACCTACATGAGATGACACTGAGTGGCTAGCAGTGGGGTTATGGCCCGCGACGGAGGAGTGAGGGATGCGCGACTTCAAGGCAAGGAGTTCGAGTGGGGGTTTTGCGGAGGTGAGGTTTAGGTGAGACGGTGAGAGAGTGGTTAGAGATGGGAAATGGCCCGCAGTGGTTCGCGATGGGGGAGACGGGATGGGTCTCAGTGGCTGGGGGTGACTTTGAGGATGACGTTTATGGTTAGGTTCATGGTGGTCAGAGATGGTGCGGTGATAAGTAGAGCGAATGAGTTGAAAATAGGATGGTACGGATTTGGGTGCGGGTGAAGGTTATGGTGGAGGTGCGGCGAGCTTAGTGATAGTCGGTGGCAAAGATAAACATATTTTATTTATGTTTTTAATTTTTATTTGAAATGTATACAACCTCTGGAATAACTTATTAGAGTCTCATACATCAAGGGCAACGAGAAACAAATACAAATAATCAATTAACATGGAACAAATCAAACAATCAATTAACATACAACTAATTAATTATCGTGGCAACAAGCAACAAATACAAACAATCAATTAACAATGGATTGAGAGATGGAGATGAAGCACGCTATATATGGGAAGTGAACCTGGGTTTTGCGGAAAAATGTTGTATTGACTATATGGGAACTGAACCTGGGTTTTGCAGGAAATTATTGTATTGACTGTATTTTGTATTATTGTTGTGTTGACTATATTTTGTATTATTGTGTTTACTGTACTATTTGTTGTATTGTTATTGTTGTATTGTTGTGTTGATTGTATTAGTGTATTGTTGTGATGGTGTGGGTTGTATTGATTGTATTGTTACTGTATTGTTGTGTTTACTGTATTATTGTATTATTGTGATGGTGTGGGTCTTGTTTGTTATGTCCTTGCTATTTTTTTTTGTTTTAGTTGTGTTCGTCCATCCCTTATTTTTATTGAGGTTATCTTTCAATTTATAGAGAAGCCAAAATGAAGGTTTGTATTAGTGGCTAGCAGAGGTGTTCCAGCTAGGAGCAGGGTTGTGTTGGTGGCAAGAAGTAGGGTGGTGGAGCAGTTGGTGAAGTAGTGCAGCAAGGTGATGAAGCATAAAAATGGGACTGGACAAGAGATAGTCTGGTAGTTGGGAGAGATGGGTAGAAATCTCCAAAGTTGTTACATCTCATTATTAAGATGGTTCCTCGTGTGCAAATCCTTCACCGAAAACCCAAAAACCCAAAAGGAACAAATTCAACATAAATCAGATTATCAGTGATAACTTTACGAACAAGTATGAGGTTTTTTATGAGATTTGATGCATGTAACACATTGTTTAGGTTTAAATGAGGGTGGGTGGGGATAATGTAGTGCTTCCATGACCACAAATAGGAATCAAATGACTATTACCAACAACAATATTATAATCTTTGCTTGAATCAAAATAAGATGAAAGTGTACTTTGATTTGCTGTCATATGAGAGGTAGCACTGTATCCATATACTAGTTCTCATTTGGTTGAGAGATTGCAAAAGTATGCATGACTGCATTAATATCCATAGGTGTGTCCCCAACTTTAGATGGTGTTACTCATGTGTTGTAAACTTGTTGTGGTGGTCGTAGTCCAAGAACACCGATTTGGCATGGAGGTCTAGGTTGTCATGAGGCTGCAGGATAAGGGCATGGAGGTTGGGCCCATCCAGTCCATGGATTAAGGAAGGATGCTCATACGGTAGGAGGCCTTGATACTACGAGTATTATGATAACTATTGTGGTGCACCATTTTTTCCAACACCTGCACCCCCACTACTACCATGTCCGTCTCTTCCATTGCGGGTATTGTTGCCTCTATCTCAGTTGATTTTCTTTCTGCAATTGGTATTATGACGACCCTAAGAATTATTGGTATTGTTGTGAATTGAAGCATTTTTTCTACGATTAAGAATGCGGAGGAACCAGATTCACGAGTTTATCGCTCCTTCATCTTGGTCTCTTCTAACTTCGATCGAGAACATGTTGTAGCAAAATTTGAGAAGTCAGCTTTTTGTTGCATAACTGTGACAAGACTAGCATATGCTTCGGTCAATCTAGCGAGAAAATGAAGCACTAGAAGTTAATCTGAAACAGGAGCCCCAACATTGGATAATTGGTTAGCAAGATATTTGAGTCGGTTGCAATATGCGAAGGTTGTGGAGAAACATATTAAGTTTGTGTTCGTGAACTGAGTTTCAATACATACTGCCCTAGTGTTTTTGTTGTCTAGAAATAAGTCAGCTACAAACTATCAAACTTTAGTAGGCGAATCATCAGTCACAAGGATCAATGTAATAATATCAAGAGATACAGTAGCATAAATCCATTAGAGAACAATAACATCAAGGTGATTCTATAGAGGGAAATCAATGACCTTGGCTGTTTGATATGTTGTTATGGCAACGACCTCCGTGGGAGGGATGATATGTTCAAACTCGAAATAAACTTTAACTTGAATATTAAATAAGGTTGCCCATAAGTAATATTGATAGATTTTTATGTCCAAAGTGGTTGGAATGAGATGTTTCACGTTGATGATAATTAAAATAGAATGAAATTTAAAATTGTCAATTATAGATGGGCGGTTATGAAAGAAAATTTTTTTTTAAAAAAGATAAACAATGAGAACTAAATTAAAAAAAAAAGAGGAAAATAACCTAATATAATATTATATAAAAAATAATTTATGATTTGTTGATTAAAAATATATAAAAAATATAAATTATAATTTATTAGATTAAAAATTAATATTAAAACAATTAATACTATAAAATATTTTTAAAATAATAATAACTCTTATAATAATAACTTCATCTCTCACTTACGCATTCTTTTTGTGATCACTTTCGCAAGCGGCAACATTGGACGTGACTATATGCTTCAGTGTCACGCTATCACCAGCAGCATCACACTGCCATATCGCCGTTGGTTCTATGACTCTATACAACGTAATATGGTTTTAGATTTTATTAAAACAATTCAAACTATTTGTGCTCTAACCCTACAACTTGCAAAATAGTCCTACTCAACTTTGAAATAATAATGCTCCGCACTCAGCCATGTTTCCTGGAAAGAAAGAAAGTTAATATTTATTGTGTGGCACACTGGCCAAGTCTTTCTGGTTTAATTTCCTCCAACCTTCCCAGTCAAAAACCTGCTGTTTATTGCTTTCCTCCCACTTCTCATGCTCAACATCATTTTTGCAAATAAACCTTCCCATCTGTTTTCTATAACAACTTAACTTACACTATCATTGAATACTTTTTTAGTTTTCATTTTTTTTAAATATATTCAAAGTTTAATTAGGTTTAAGATGGTCTAATTCAAGTTTTGTGAATAGAAAAAACGTGGTTGGAAAGGAATAACATCCTATAAAAGATAATGAGTCAATTCTTCCATACAAATTAATCATTCATATGATAATATAATTAAAAAATACTTTACTAAAATATCTCTTTTAAAATAAATGGAGTCTAAGGTTAAAAGTAAATTAAAACAAAAATAAGAAATTATAAGTCGTTATGTTGAGGTAGATAATCCAATGAGAGAGTAGGAAGACTTCATATTTTTCCATCGGGACTTGTTGCTTTTTATGAATGCCATTCTCACCCATTCATCTAAAGCTTAAACTATTACCCTAATAACCTTCTTTCTCTACTTTCAACCTTCACCAAACAGTAGATAAGTTAAATTGATTTTCTATTCGAAGATGCACTAGATAAGTTATTTATCTTCTATAGGAGAGTTGATGAAAAAATATTGAAGTAAATAGAGAAAGACTTAGATATATCTTTTGTTGACTTGGAAAAAAATATATTTCATAAAAGTTTAGTGGAATATAGTGACTTTTTTTCATAAATAATACTATTTTAAAAATATTTCCTAAAATAGCGCATCTGGAACATTATTTACACAACTAGTACTCTTTACTGTTCACGTATTAAAATAATCGATTATTTTATATTATGATCGATTATTTCGCACAATCAACTCTCGCTCAAGCGAAGAAACCCTTCGCTTGAGCGAGGAAATATGTAACAAAGGGGTAATCTCGGATCTCGCTCAAGCGAAGAAACCCTTCGCTTGAGCGAGGAAATCTGTAACAAAGGGGTAATCTCCGGTCAATTCTCGCTCAAGCGACGGGTATTTTCGCTTGAGCGAGAAGTGATTAAAATATGTGGTGATCCAAGTTGCGTTATGTGGCTAACTGTGTTGGACGTTTAGCCTGTGGTCAATTCTCGCTCAAGTGATGAGTTACTTCGCTCGAGCGAGAATTGATTGGGTAACTACGTTGGACCGTGGTCAATTCTCGCTCAAGCGAGACATCCATCGCTTGAGCGAAGAAATTTATAATCGATTATAATTTGAACTAATCGATCATAATTTTAAAATAATCGAATATACAAAATTATGATCGATTATTTCTCTCTCGCTCAAGCGAAGAAACTTCGCTTAAGCGAGGAGACCTGTAACAAATGGGTAATCTCGGGTCAATTCTCGCTCAAGCGACGGGTACTTTCGCTTGAGCGAGAAGTGATTGAAATA